GCTTCTGCCTCCTGTGGAGTAACTGTAACTGGCGAACGCATTTTATTCCTCAGTGAGATCTTGGGAGTAGAAACAAACAGTAACATTCTCCTCATATGAGATTCTTTTCAAGAATATAGTAGTTTGGCTTTGGTTTGTATTGATGGTGAGAGGGCGGAGGTGTGTGGCAAAAACTTGCGGATGAATCATGACCTTGTCTTTACCAGTTTGTTTTCTTTCCCAAACCCTCAAGAGGAAGTCCTCCGTTGAACACGGACATTAAAATTCTAAGCACCACAGTTAATCTGGATCATAAACAACCAAATGAATGGAAGCAACTGTGGTCTTGGTAAGTCCAGGAACGTTTGGTGAGTAGCTCATCTAGAAAGGGGACCTGTCATGAGCTAAGTTAAAAGAAGTATTTAGCTGTACTTCAAACCCCTCCTCCAACACCACCGATTGAAAAGAGAAGTGCAAAATGGAATAAACTGATTTTAAGTTAGTATAAGCTGCCTTTATATACAAAAATAGCTTCTTGCTTTTCAGCCAATTTCAGAAGTCTACACCATGTACCTTTGGTAAATTAGCTGAAACTAGACTTTAAAATCTTTAGTCACATGCTATACATAGCTAAATTATAAACATTGTTTATAGTGGTGAGCATCACTGTTGCTTGATGGCCTCAGTAACTATTATCCTTGGTTCATAATTAATTATGCATGTAGGATAGCTTCAAGAGGCCATTTCTAAAACATTGATATTATAAACCGAATTGAATATTTGAGACTTTGTGTCATTATAATCCTGACCTCAACCTCTTGTCCATTTCAGACAGTATTTGTGTCAAATATGAGTACCTACCCATTAGATACAAATAGATAAACAATTCTTATATAAGCTACTAAATGTCCATCAGGTTTGTGATTAAGTCACAAATTGTAGATAGAGAACTTAATGATAAGGCATCAGTTCTCACAGACAATAAGTATCCAGGAGTTTAATAACATTGAGTCATACACATTTTCAAAGGTGTTTTTAATAAATATTTGGAATCAAATGTGTTCTCACAACAGTCATTTCTACTAAATGCAATAAATTTTAGTCCGTGAAGACTCATCTTTTTTAGATAATGTTCTTTGGGAGCAGAAAGACATGTTTAGAAACAACTGCATTTACTAAAAATATTAAAAAGAAGTAATGTTTGTCAAGTGCTTCCAATGTGCAATTCAGATGTGAGGCTAGATGATTTATACATCATCCCTGTTAATCCTTGCAAGAACGCACACAAGAGGAGCTTTACAGACTGAGAAGCTCAAGTAGAGAAAGTTAAAGTTCTTTAAATCATTCCGCAGAAAGTATCTGGTTCAGAGTAGGATCTATAGTCTGATCTGAAGAGACTGAGTATGTTTAAACTCTGCCTTTTAGATTACCTGTGAGCTTACATTACTAAAACATCAAACTATGCAGAAAAACTCCAAGAAGAGCAGTAATTCAAGAGTTTCTGACATAGAATTGAACTCTGTGGATGCTGAGAAGGAAAACAAGGAGAGTCTAAATAACTTGTTTGAACTGCTGCCTAGAGAAATTTCTTTACAAATTTTCAGTCTGCTGGATGTTCAGAGTCTGTGCCGGGCTTCAATGACATGCAGGAGCTGGAACTGCACAATAACAAAAAATGACTTTTTATGGGAACCTCATTGCTTGGCTATAAGAGCTGTGTGCAAAAGAGAAATAGATGATGATCGAAAAAGTGGTTATTCCTGGATGGTAAGTTTAATTTTTGTGGTCTGCAGTGTTCTTAAAATAAGGTGGTAGGTTTGAACTAATTCTACCTTCTGCTTGAAGGAGGTAGGATTTTATATACAGAGTGACATACAGAGCGTGTTGGCTTTTGGACTTAAAGTTGAATTTTTATTTTTTCTTGCAGACCATACTGTCTCCCATCCCTTCTACATTTTTTAAATCCTACATTCGGGCATTTTCTTCTGATAGCCGAAAGGAAAGTGGCTACTTCTTTTCACTCCACATTATTCAAAACCCCCAGCAAACTCTATGGTTTGCTGTGCTAGCTTGCTCGCTCGCTCCCTCCCTTCCCGCCCCCTCCCTTCCCTCTCTCTCTTCCTCCCTCTCCCCCGCCACCTCCCTCTCTCCATCTACACACCCACTTACTAGTACATATATATATGTATATATCAATGTAAATACTTATCTTTTCAGCCCTGTCAGTCAGCTTCTCTGGTTTCAAACAAATTCACTAACCAACCAACTTCTATATTGATGATGTTGATTTACTTCTTTCAGGACACACTACAGAGGAATTACCAGAAGAGTAAAGTGAAATTCAATTGGCTAAGTGGCAGATACAGCAACTTATCTTCTTCTGTTAGCCTACCAGAAAAAATCATGTACCCGATGGATGCTGAAACATGGGGAGAAATTCTAGAAGCAGAGCTGAAAAGATATGCAGAAAAATCACGAACAGATCTCATAACTTAGTTTAAAACTAAAATAACTCTTAGGGTGCAAAAGGTATATTTTTACTCACCTTTTGTTCACCTTTTTGAATATTTAATATCTAAAATAAGTAGAAAATATTATAAAAGAAAAGCTTTGTTTTTATTTGGCACTTTAGTAAAAAAAATATTTTTCTGATTTTACTGTAATGTGAAAAATCATGAAATGTTATTTATATAAGAAATACTGTACTAATAGAGTGATTCTAATGTATTGTTTCATATATTTGTGTTAATATATTGCAGTACTTTAATAAGAGAGTTTGATTAATATTTTCTGCTTAATTGATAACTCAGAAATTCAGGAAACCATTTGAAGAGATTGACTTAGAGATTCATTAAGTGGTGGGCATAAGATTCATGAGAAGACTCCTAAATGAAATTAATAGCAATATGTTTAAATATATAATACATTTATATTTCAATAACTAAAATTTCTATTTCAGTAGAATCAGATTGAATTGTCAAACATTAAAACCATTTTAAAATGTGCTAAATTTGTGGTTTAGCTTCAGATTTATCTGACATAGGGCTAAAACTTATGAGGCTAAGTTTCATTACTTGCCTACATATCTGGAATTGCTCTCAGGGACTGAAAATATATGGAAAGTTTTCAGAACACTTAACTATCATAATTGCCTTAGTATTTTTTCTACTAAAACTTTCTTTCTAACAGCCTTATAGCACCATCTAGTGTACTACTCATAGATTACCAAGCTAACCAAGATAAACTTTTTGTTTTCTACACATTTAAAAGAAAGAAAAATATTGTTTTAGAGAACCCTAAATACCTAACTATGTTAAAGTTTATCGCTTTCCAGGAATCTTTAACTTTTGTTCTCTTTTTCTTAAAAGTAGATGATATAGTATTTACTATACCAAATTGTTCATTCTGAATCTGTGGTCAGAGGTATAAAATGTCTACAAAACATTTTAGTTAGGATGGGATTTTCTTAAATTGTGGTCTATAGCACAAAAAATAAGAATCTAGGAAACCAGTGTTTAACAAATAGGCAATTATCAGAAAGGTACTTCACTCTCTACAAATTCCCGTTGTTGGATCAAGCAGGTGATTGTCTCTCAGTATCACAGAGTTGGAAGGAGCCTTAAAGTTTAGGCAGTCCAGTCTCTAGGACTGTTTGGCATTCCCCTCTATAAGAACGCTCATCCTCTCACCTACCATTAATTCTTTTCTTGGTAATATCTTTTGTAAATCTTCATCTGGAAACCATATCTAACTAATACTGTTCTCAAAGCTGTCATACATTAAATTGACTTTTATTTGTCTGTGTCCCCCTTTAGACTGTGAGCTTCTTACTGTCAGGTACGATTTATTTGTTTTTGTGTTCTCAAAGCATAGAAAATATTAGGTATTCCATAAAGATTTATTAAATTATTTCAGCATTATTTATTTTAATTCTATTATATATTAAGAAATAAGAAATAATTTACTATATTGTAAATGGACAAGGTTATAATGAAGTGCAATGTAAAACCTATATGTGAGACACTTAATGCTAATGCTAATATATGAATAATTGTTCTAATCTTTTCAAAAACTGTAAGAGGAAAATAAGAAAATAGAAATGTTTTGTTTTATTCTTTAAATAAACACTTGAAAATACACTTGATCCAAAAGTATCACTTATTGCTCGGAATCACTAAGGTCTAAAGTTGTTAAGAATTACTTTTGCAAGTTATGTAAATAATCTTTAGTTTGTGGTACTATTGCATTAAAATAATTCTTTGTATAAGTTATGAACTGTGATCACAGTCTAAACTGAAAGGAAAGTTTTGGAACTCAATGATAAATTTTATGGTATGGGCTTTGAATGAACTACACATTTATCAGACCGAGCCATTAGCATCTGAGACCATGAGTGGGTGGAGTAACATGGAAGGAGTGCTCTTACTCATAGATAAAATAACATGTTAAATATATACAGTTCGTAAAAGAGGAAGGATTATTAGGATAGAGCATTAGGGAATTTCCAGTGTTTTTAAATATTTAATCAGTTCAAGATCTTATATTTTAAAAAATAAATTTAGAAACTTTTAAAAATTCCTTCGTTTATAATCCAATCTTAGACCAGGACATAATCACAATAAAATCTATCTGAATATGTACTCTAGACCTTAGAATAGTCACATCTACACATACCTAATATGAAATAATATAACATTCTTCTAACCACTTTAATATAATCTCTTTAAAACTTCAAATGCCCTAATAATAATAACAAAAATAAGGTGAGTGGTAATATCAGGATATGGATTGGGAAGAAGAATACATAAGATGGAAGATCACGCATTTTTATTTAAAGTAGAGTTGAAAGACCAAAAACGTCAAATGGATGGAAGTAGATCAACAATAGACAAAGTTGATTTATTACAATAGCCAGCATTTATTGAGTGCCTACTCTGCACCAAGCATTAGCCTATATGGGGGTGCTATTACTCTATCTCCATGTCATGAATGAGGAAACAAAGTTAGAGAATGCACTTACCTAATTCATCACTACTCCTCAGTATATAATACTTAGTAGTTGGTAAGTAAATTTTTTCTGAATTAAAAACTTAATCTGAGAATGAATAACTCAAATGGAAGAGCCAAGAATGTTTCTCCAACTTTTTATTTTGAAATTTTCGAGCCCACAGAAAAGTAAAATTATATGACAAAAACTCTTATGTATACCCTTCACCTAGGTATACCAGTTGTTAACATTTCCACATTTGTTTTATTTATTTTTGCTGGAGAGTTTGAAAAGTTGCAGAATGATATTTCACCCCCAAGTATTTCAGCATGCATCTTCTAAGAATAAGTATATCCTATTTGCAATATCATTATCACATCTAAAATTTTACATTAATGCAATAATATCTAATTCACAATCCACATTTAAATTTCCTCAATGTCTCCAAAGGCATCTTCTATAGATTTTTTCCAATTCAGGATCCGAACAAGGTTTACACATGCATATTTTTTATGCCCCTTTAATCTCTTTTAACCAAAAGCATCCCTGCCTTTGGTTTTCTTTTTCAGGATATTGACTTTTTTTTTTTTTTTTAAGAATTCAGGCTAGTTATCTTGTAGAATGTTCTGTAATTGATTTGTCTGATTGTCTCTTCATGATTTGATTCAATTATAATTAGCAATTATATTACATAGGTGATATAATATACTTCTTACTGCATCACATTAAGAAGCTCAAAATGTCTGACCTACTATGTTGGAGGGTAAGTCTGATCATTTGATTGAGGTAGTAATCATCAACTCTCTCCACTGAAAAGGATATTTTTCCATAGAGCCAAGATTTCTTTTTTCAACAACCTGTTTCTAGAGTACTCCCCTATGGCTAATCTTGTGCTACATGCTTTATAAACATTATCTTATTTCTCTTCACAATTAATTATACTTTCAAAGAACAAAGAATTTGGAGATGATTTTCTCCAAATTCTATTCCAGATTTTCTAAAAAGTAAAAAGCTGTTAAGCCACAATTTAAACCCAAATCTCTTTGGCTTCAGAAACCAAGCTTTTAACCAGTATAGTGCTGTTTATAATTTTAATGGTTAGTCCTTACACTGAGGCAACATGAAGGACTAAGACTAACTCGGTACATCTCCCATTACAAATATCTAGACAATCTAGGGGAATTAATATTAAATACATAGAACTTACATTTCTGCTAATGGCAGAACAGATAATTCTCACAGCCTTCCTTCTTAGGACAACTTGAAAAAACCCTCAGAAAAATAATCTTAAAGGTATCAGAGGGCTAACAAGATAGTAGAGAAATATTGGACCAGTTTCTGGGGAAAGAAAGATAACCAGAGAGGTAAGCCCATGACTGAGGTTAACTGTGCCATAGATGCATTTGCCAGTTTCTATAAGACAGTAAACAGATGTCGAAAGCCTCTCAAGGCTACAAGGACAGGGAGTGGAATGTAGGACCCACTAAAACAAGGGGAACTAGTAACCTTAGCCAACTCCTTTTTTGTGGTTTGGGACCCAGACTGCAACCTAGGAATTGGAGTGACCTAGAAAAACATAGGACCTCACAAAAAAAAAAAAAAAGAAAGAAACTTTGATATTGGATTGAAAGCATCCCAGAATAATAATGCCCTAGACATCTGCCAGAAGCAAAAAAAAAAAAAAAAAGTCCTTCCTGAAGAAAAATATCAACATTTTAGGCTTCACATTATCTCTACAAACATACTTTAAAATCAATGTCTGAAATACACACACACACATACACATACGTACACTCACACACACACAAAGGAGGTATGATAATATGAATAAAAACGAACAGAAAAACAAATGATAGAAAAGATCCACAATTTGAGTTATCAGATAAAGCATCCAAAATAACAAAGCTTAAGGTAATCAATGTAATGAAAGGCATGTTGAGAACTTCTGCAGAGACCTGAAATAATAAAGAGCCAAATGGAAATTTTACAACTAAAAAATAAAATGAGAAGGTCTAATGTATGAGTAATTAGAGTAAGAAGACAAGGAGGGATACAATGAGGCAGAAGCAATTTTGAAGCAATAGTGATTAACATTTTCCAAGACTGATAAAAGGCCTCAAGTTGCAGATTGAAGAAGCCACACAATCTGCAAACATGATAAATAAAAGATATACTCAAACCTCTACCAACAATTAATTTTCAAAAAGACCAAAAATAAGATAGTAAGGATATATAAGAGAAATGCTACTGCTTCAAACAAATAGAAAAAGAAAAACATAAAACAAAACATCTGCTTAAAGGCACTGGACGGCTGCCAAGGCAACCATGGCCAGAGGGACCAAGGTTCTGCAGAAAGATGGACCTGGAGAGGTGAGCTGATATTCTGCAGTTTTCAGCTATGGTGAACAAATCTCTCCGCCTCACAGAGGGTAGAGACTTTATCACCTCTAGAGGAAGATAACACCACCTGGAGCCTCTGCAGTTTTTCATATATGATGTCTGCATGCAATAAAAAATCACTAGGCATACTAAAAGACAGAAGTAAATGATCGAAAGTCAAAAGAAAAAAAAACAAAGTCCATAGGGATTTCGTTAGTGGAGTTTTGCTGACGACTTCAAAATAACTATGATTAACACGTCCA